TTATTTCAGGAGATCATTAGGGAAGTTACTTTCTTACTTGTACCAGTGTAATACTTTTCATCCCATTCTATTAACGTACTTGTTGAACATAAATATTTATTTTATTTTTATTATATTTTTAAAAGCTCAAGATGACTAAGATTTCTTCCTCATCTGTCTTCTGAGTGGCATGGTAGATGGTGATTCTCTCCATTTAGTGTTCTGCCTGAATGGAGAATGCAGATTTAAGCCTCATTCTATAGAACTTTATATATACTGAAAAGGTGGATACGGCTCTATAAACACAAGAGATCCAGATAAAGGAATCAACTTGTTCAGTAAGAAGTTGACATTGCCTTTTCCACAGTTTTCCCCACTTATTTATTTATTTGATTTATTTGATTTGTCAATTGTTTACAAGATAATAAGTATAAGTGTATACATAGTTATGAATACATGAAATGGGTACATATAAGAAAAATAAAAGAAAAATAAAAGAAACAATAGGACAGGGACGGTAGGCACGTTGGTGCGCTTATGCACGCCCTTCTGAATTATGGTGTTATTCACCCTTGTCTGAGTCATCAGAGACAGGCATGAATTTGCTGTTGCCATTCTCAGTTCCTATTCTGCAATTGCCACATCACCTGACCTTTCTCCAGAGTACCAATGACAAAGCCTAACTGATATATTTTATACCTTAAGATTGCCTTTCACTTAAGTAGCAGAATAAAGAGTAGGACCCTGCTTTAACATTAGAACATTAATGACTTATTAAGTCATTAAGTGGATACCATGTTGTTGGAACATAGCAGAAAATAGATGTTGCCAGGGCAACATAGCTGGTTCATTAAGGGTTCAAACAGGGACAGAAGCTAAATGGACTTTCTTATTGAACCAGTTGGTTTCTTTATTTGGACTTCTAATGTTTGTAGGACTTAGAATTGAACTGGAATATTCTAATTGAAAGCATATGCACTGTGCAAGTTAAAATTGTTTCTTGATTTGTACTTGCTTTTGCTAATCCAAAATGCTTCTAGGAATCCTAGGAAAGTTGGTGAGCACTGATAAATGGACACTTGGGTATTCTGACTAGTTGTTCCACAATGTATTTAACAAAGCGGGAATGAATTTCCTTTGTTTTATAACCATGAATACCCAGCAGGATAGAGATCTCTCTCCTGATCAGCCTAAATATATTCAGAATAAAAATATTCAAAACCTAAAAGAATTTTTATGATGGGAACGTTAGCAGTGTAAGATCTAACTACAATGCCTAGTTCAACTAAACAGTTCGTTTAGATCTTCAAGCTTTTGAAAATACTTTATATTTTTAAAAAGTATAGCTCATGAATTTTTATAGAATTTTCCTCATCAAACAAAGGAAACCAACATCTTTATTAAATATGCTGTTCTATAGCTTATGTGAATCGGGTTAATTCATTTGTTACTGTGCAGAGAAAGTTACATTTTTTTCAAAGATGACGGCAAATCATCAACATTCAGTGGTTAAACAGAAACAAAAATAATATTTGTTTGATAATTTAACACTGCCTCACATAGTTCCATAGTCGTCCTTGAGATCCACAAATTATGACACTGTCAAGCTGCAAAGGGAATGTGATCCACATATATTTAATCCAGAATTTGTGATTGATGGAGTTTGATTAAAATTGTTCACAAACAATATGAAAACTTTTTAGTAATGAAGATAACCTTGTGAACTCGAAAAATAAAGGATATCCCCTCTTGTTTTGTTTTTTAATTTTGTTTTCCTTTATATCATTTTAAATTATATAACTGTTAGGAGGTTATTGGAACAATTCTAGCCTTTTACAATCTTCATTTTTTTTCTAAGTGAACTTGCTGGATTGTCCTTATTTTGGAAGTATAAGAAACTTTTGTAGAGATCAAACCCTTTCGTTACAGATTGTATTTCTTAAATTAGGTATTATAGATTGGTTCCAGTGGTCATACATTCATTCTTTAATTATTTATTTGTTAAAAGCCATATTCTTTTTTTTTTTTTTTGGTAATAGTTAAATTATGTGTTGGATTTGACACTTACACAATTGCAATATAAATATTATTATTTATTTATTTATTTGATTTGCCAATTGTTTACAAGATAGTAAGTATAAGTGTATACATAGTTGTGGATACATGAAATGGGTACATATAAGAAAAATAAAAGAATAAGAGAAACAATAGGACAGGGACGGTAGGCACGTTGGTGCGCTTATGTACGCCCCCTACAGACCTCTTAGGAAAGGGGTGAGGTCAATAGTAGACAGTCTAAGGTTAAAGTTTTTGGGGTTTGGGGAAGAGACTACAGAGTCGGGTAGAGTATTCCAGACATTGACCACTCTATTGCTGAAGTCGTATTTCCTGCAATCAAGTTTGGTGCGGTTTACTTTGAGTTTGCATCTATTGTGTGCTCTTGTGTTGTTATGGTTGAAGCTGAAGTATTCATTGACGGGTAGGACATTGCAATGTATGATTTTATATACCATGCTTAAGTCAGACCGAAGACGGCGTAATTCAAGGTTTTCTAGTTCAAGAATTTCAAGTCTGGTGGTATAAGGTATTCTATAACGAGTAGAAGAGTGGAGAACTCTTCTTGTGAAATATTTCTGGACTTTCTCAATTGTGCTAATATCAGATACGTAATGAGGGTTCCAGACTGATGAACTGTATTCGAGTATTGGTCTAGCAAATGTTTTGTATGCTCTGGTTAGTAGTGTGATATTACCAGAGAAAAAGCTACGTAGGATTAGGTTAACAACTCTTAATGCCTTTTTGGCTATGTAGTTGCAGTGGGCTCTAGCACTTAGATCATTAGAGGTGAGTATTCCAAGGTCCTTTACAGAGCTTGAGTCATCAACAAGTTCTTGACTATTCAGCTTGTATTTTATTTTCTGATTTTTTTTGCCAATATGTAAGACAGAGCATTTATTTGTTGAGATTTGAAGTTGCCATTTGTTTGACCATTCAGATACATAGTCAAGATCTTTTTGTAGGGTAGCAGTATTGTCTGTGGTATTGAACAGCTTTACATCATCAGCGAAGAGGACGTAATTGCTCTTAATATGATCACAGAGGTCGTTTATGTAGAGTATGAAGAGAGTTGGTTCTAGAACACTGCCTTGAGGGACACCACTATTGACAGGTACTGGATTTGATAGGACGCTCCCGATTTTGACCATTTGTTGTCTGTTTGATAGGAATGCTTCTATCCAGTTATTCAGTTGTCCAGAGATACCATAGGATTTTATTTTTAGGAGTAGTTTGTCGTGTACCACTGAATCAAAGGCTTTACAGAAGTCTATGTAGATTGCGTCTATTGCTTTGCCCTGGTCGAGTTGTGTCGTCCATATGTTTTTGCAGTGTAAGAGTTGCAGATTACAGGATAGTTTTTTTCTGAAACCAAATTGTTTATTGGAGAGTAGGTTGTTTGTCTCTAAGTGGAGCATGATGGATTGGTTAATAATTGATTCCATGACTTTACAGGTGACGCAGCATAAGGAGATTGGCCTGTAATTTTCAACTAGGCTTGGGTCTCCCTTTTTGAAGATGGGGATGACTGTGGCTTGTGACCATAGGTTAGGCAAGGAGCTGGTCCTGAAAGATTTTTCAAAGATTATGCTTAGAGGTTTGGCTATGGCAGTGGATAGTTTTCTTAAGAAGTAGGCACATATTCCATCCGGTCCAATAGATAGAGATGGTTTTAGGTTGCGTAGTGCTTTTTCAACATTGTCTTCTGTGAAATCGATATGTATTAGATCATTGTTGTTATCTGTGGTACGGCTAGGAAATACTGGGCATGATCCATTGCTGTTTACAAATACTGAGCCGAAGAATGTGTTAAAGATGTTGGCTTTTATGGTGTCGTCGTTGCAGTCTTTACCATCAGGTCCTATCAAGGGAGGGATGGACCTTGAGTCTTTTAGTTTGTTGTTTACAAAATTGTAAAAAGCACGGGTGGAATTGGTGCTTAGAAGGTTTTCCTCTTGTTTAATGTGATAATTGGTGCATTCGGTCTTTATCTGGTGGCATAAATTTTTGTATCGGTTTTTGAAATTGGCAACATGACCAGATTTGTTTTTCCGCCAGAGTGATCTCTTTTTGGATTGAAGTTTCCTTATTGATATGGGTAATCTGCTTTTTTGTTTTGTTTTGGGAGTTGTTGTTGGAACATATAGTTTGATGACTCTTTTGACTTCAAGTAAAAATATGTAAAATATGTAAAAATATTATAGGACTCTTTAATAATCTGTTCTCCTAGTTAATCCTTTAGTAAGGCAGATCTGTGTTATTGTAAGATGCAAAAAAATCAGGTCCACATGTGAAGGTTCAATTAACTGACTTTTGCGAAAACCTATACACAGGAATCTTTTCAGTCTAATAGCACCTAGGTAAAACTTGATAAGGATCAACAGCAATCAAAGGGGGTTGGACTTAATTCACTTGAGGCAATGTAATACTTCTAAACTGATGCCTTGTTTAACTCCCTTCCCTGGCTATGCCAGTACTTCTCCTACAATTATGGCACAAAAATGTTCCCGGAATTCATTTTGGATCATACACACTGGAATTGACCAAGAAACCGAATATTTTAGGCATAGTGAGACTGGAAAAAAAATTGTATTTGAAACATCCACTACTAAAATAAATAAACTGATTAAATTAGGCTCATATGTGAAAGATTAATTTGCTATGTTATAAAATCTGAACTAAAGAATCTGAACTATTTAACATTGTAGTGATAGATTTCTGTTTGACCCGTTGTGAAGTATTGTTGATGACGGCTATCTTACAGAATGAAGATCAAGAGTTTGAACAAGAAGTAGTTCACCTATTGTAAATGGGACAAATCATTATTCCAACACTCCTAAAAGTTGTTTTATAAAAGCCAATAGGGGTGATTCAAACATTCTTAAAAGCTGTTTTTTCCCCTTAACCTTGTTTTGAAACTGATATGACCACTTTCTCTGAAATAAAAACATTTTTCTTTCTTTCAGACTCTGAAGAAAAAATACAACTGCAGATAATTAATCAGGTATTTTGACCATTTTAGATATATTGCAATTAATAAAATTTATGAATTGTGCACTTTTATAAGAGAAGAAATAACACAGGAATCTGCATCTAGATATTTATGATTTATCTTGTAAACCAATGAAGCTCCCTAGGCAACCAAACAGACTGGAGAAGAAATCCAGTACTAAGATGATGAAGCACAGGTAACATCATGCCTGTTTTTATGTAGCAAAAGCACCTGTTTATTATTGCTTTCTTTAATAGCTGTCCAACAGAATTATGTGTTTGAGGGGGGGACTACTCCAAAATGGACTGTTGAAACCATGGATGCATGCTGTGACTCTTTTACTGGAGGTACTCCAAGATCCACAGCCTTGGATGGAAATTGAAATGGACTCTTTGGCTCTTTTATTATATGTAGCTAGGAATAAATTAACCATAGAAATCCATGCAATGAAAGGATTTTGTAATGTGTACCTAATAGGGCTAATCCTGGAAACTATGGTTAATGTGAACTGTACCATCTAGTTACTGTGAGGATAACCAATTATGAAGATAATAATAACCTGTTCTGAAGGAGCCATTCTTGTTGGTTCCTGAATCAAATTCAAAGCCATCTTCATGATGCAGGCTAGAAACTGGAAGACCATAAGTTCTAGTCTCACCTTAGGAGAATGAAAGCAGTTTGGGACCAGTCATTCTCAGCCCAAAGCACCTCACAAGGTTACTGTTGTGGGAAAAATAGGAGGAAGAAGATGTTCACCACCTTGAGTTACAATTATAAAAAAAAGGTAGGAAATTAATAAATAACATAGAAAACCTATGATAGATGGCTTAGGAAATAATGGCACATCTGGTCCCTAATATATCTGGAGAAGGCAACATCTGTCAGTGGTCTCTTACATAAGGATGCAAAACCAAATTCTTGATACAAATTCTTTTTACAAAGCTTTATCTAACAATATGTTCTTAATTTTTTTCTCTTTTCTTATCCCTGTACCATAAGTATCTATAAAGCCCAAAGATCAATATAAGATGCCTGGCTATGTAAACATTTTAAATAAATAAATAAATAAATAAAATAAATAGCTCCTTCCAGTCTTGACACTCCATTATTTGGGGATTTTATCCATTCTTTTGGCCACAAAAAACAGCTTGTTTTGATAATCTGTACATTTCTGTTGATTTGTACATATTTTAGGCTATTTATTAATATAATCACTAATTTATGCATATATATATATATATATATATATATATATATATATATATATATGTATTTTCTTACGTCATTATAGTTGTGCTTTTAAAGTTGTAGCAACGTTTCAGCAGAATCTCATCTGCCATCATCAGGCTTCTGTA